TTAATAAATAAATAAATATATACCTTGATTCTGTAACATTGGGCTTACTGGAGTAGAGCGCGGGCACGGCGTGACGCGGCATCTTGACCTGATTCCGGGCACGTCACATAACCAAATAAAGTTCTAACTCTGAACGTCCGCAGATAAGAGAACAAGATAATGATGATGATGGTACGACCTTACTAATGTGTCAATACAATATGCGACTAAACTTTAGAGAGAAGGGCAGCCGTGTGCCGCGTGCGCTTGCAGTGCGCAGAGCACATTCAGTCTTGTTACGTAGGAAGGCGTGCCGGTGCGATAGGGGCCATTGCGAGCGCCTTAAGTTATTACTTCTTTACAAATACGCTGTTTCAACACGAGAACAACTGTCGAAAGATGCGCCGGCGCCGCGCGGTGGTAACACATTTATTGCAGCTATTCCAGCTCCAAACAACGAGATTTTTTCGAATACGATCCTATCAAGTAAATGTTAGGAGAAAGACGCCGAAAGGAAAATATTTGTATTGTCATATTTTATTGTGTTCCGTTATGTTTCAATTGTTTTTAAGAGTGGCATGATGTCCGCTCTGTGCTTTCAATGCAGCGACGGACAAAGAAAACAAGACGGCTTGTTTAGACACGCGAGCGATGGAACAGCCACTTTACAGTTGCTTCTTAGAAAAGACAAGTTTCCTTATAAGTGAACGTGTCACTGGTGTCGCTGCGAGCTGCATAATTAAACCTTAGCTGTACCGTCGCGCGCTCGGCTTGCGTTCGGCAACGAGGAAGCTACAACTCAACACTACGCCGAGCGCAGAGCGCGGCCCCCACTGCCCCCCAATTAGAGGAGGCGATCTCGGGCGAAAGGGGACAAACGGTATTTTGCATCCAATAAGAAATGTAGTTGATCTTTTAAGACATAATCAATAATAGCTAATTTGGGTTACAAGATGTGACCAAACTATTCTGAGCCCGGTGGCCAGCTGCAACATTTTGTACAAATGTTTGTCACTTAAATTGTACTTCAAACTTTTTTATTTTTTTTATCTAAACAGACATCGCACATTATATTATTTTAGAACAGTTGCTAAATAAATACATAAATAGAGGAAAATTAAAAGAAAAATAGTTAATCGTGCGTTCAGGGGGGTGTCGTGGCGGGACGAATGGAATAATCAGCTAAATTCATAATAATAACATTCAACAGAAAGTGACAGCGGCACAGTGTGTGTGTGACGCATATAGATGACGTCACAACGGTCACTGACACGCCTACAACGGTGAGTCAAGTCGTTCTAGGTCGTCAGCGCTGTCGCTACACGAGCAAGCTTACTACAGCACCTCGCTGCTGACCTCACGTCACACATGTTGCTGACAAGTTCGCCAATTTTTAATGTCAATTAAATAATGTAATCGACACACACCTGACAATACATCATTACTGCGGCGGTGTGGACTCCAGACTCGCTTAGTGTCCCAACACAGAAACTAACCCACAAATTTTAATATTTGTACTGAGGCAGCAGCGGTGGCGGCGGCGGCGGCATGGAGGGCTGCGTATACTATATTTTTGTGCGGTATGTAGACATGTATGTAGTAAAGCTTCGGCTGAGATTAGCAAAGCGCAACTGAGCAGTGCATGATACGTGAGGTCGCAACACACCCGCATGATCTCGCCGGAACCACTTTACCAAACAATAGTGACACTATCTACTATCATGTTGTGCATGTGTGGATGACGACATGTTTTTATGAAGTATACAATAAGTTAAAAGAATATCCTGACGATTGTTAGTTGTGACAGACAGACAAGTCCATGTGAGCCGTGTACGGAGAATAAGTTACTGTGGAAACAATAAAGGTATTCATTCTATGGAAGCTAACAAGAAAATACCGCATTCTACTCGCGTATCAAAACATTTTCTAAATGTGTGGACATGTTTGATTTTGTGCAGACGGCGCCAACTTCACATGTTGTGATAAATGTGAATTACTGTAATTCATTTACATATGTATGTGTAAATATATGATTTCATGTAAATTATTATATGTATCATCTACGTCTAGCCTAGGTGATTACTCATGTGAAAGGCGCAGGTGAGCCGCCGCGGGGAGTAGCGGCGCGCTCTCCGATAGGTGCACGATATGTCGTCGGACGTCAAATCAAATTTTGCAAAAAGTTGGTGGTAGCTAAGAGGAAGAAGAAAGGTCGCGAAACTGCCAAAGGCGTCGTTGTTATCTTCCCGCTTCAAATATCCCTTCATATTTTCGCGAATACTGCCATTGTAATATTTGTTGTTCAAATAACGCTGTATGCATCAGTTTTGTTTGTGGTTGCACAGGACAGGGTCAGTGAGTGTGAGGCTGTGCACGTGTTACGCGTGTCTCTATAAATAAAGCGCGCGGAGGGCTGGCCAGTAGCGGACGCTCCGTGCCCCGCCGCCCGCTATCAGGGGATATATCAATAAAAAGTATGTACCCGTGGAGAAGACAACGCAGGTAAAAGCGAGCAGTGGTGCGAGGTGACATTCCTACAAAATATACTCCGCTGTTACCCTGTTTATACAATGGCGATTAGTAATACTAAACTACCAACATATTTTGATGGCTCCTACGTACTTTCTAACATTACTTAAATTAACCTTAATAAAACTAATAGATTTAGAAATTAGAATTGACAATTTGTTTTAAAAAAAACAATAAGCAAAAATTAATCGCAAAAATGTGACACAGACTTAGGTTTTTTTAATATGTCGAGCATCGATCGCCGGTGAGTTTAAAGATGTTGAAATAGTGGATAAAGGAAAGAAACATATAAAGTGACGAGTTACAGAGCAAGAGGCTTGATAATTTGATCATCGTCGAGCGATCAACACGCTTCATCATTACGGCAGCAGAAGTCGCACCAGACACAGTTGCGTGGGCGGGATGCGGGATGCAGCGCGGGCGGGGTCAACGGCCGCGCCCGCCACCCGCGCCGCCCGCACCCTCGCGGCATAGCGGTCTCCGGACCCCACCAGATAAGCACTTTATCGATATTACGGCCCTACATCTTTTGTCATCGATACTAATACTTGCGAAGTTCAGTGTTTTCACACCACTGACATTTTTTAAACATTGTAAAATGCACAATATTGCTACTTTTAAATTTTAAATTCCATATTTGTTTTGCTCTTTATTATTTTCTTGACGCTTAGGATCGAATCGGATAATTGGCGATTCGTTTAATCGGTGTTCGGATAATCGGCATTCTACTGAAAATAAACATAGTACTAAGAGGAACATTGCGTCAGTATAGCATTTTAACTTGAAATAATGTGACGGAGCTGTTTATCAAAATATGAGTGCAATGATCAGTGTGTGTTTATGTATTATGCTAGAACTAAGAAGAGCCGAGGGGTGGACAACAACATAGAGAATGGTAGCTCAAGAGCAAGATGATGATGCAGATACCAGTGGGAGCCGTAACAGGATGATCATTGTTATCATTCAACATTTGCTTTATAAAACTGTCACAAAATGAAAACAACAAATTGTGAATATTTTGTTTGGTTATTACTTTGAAGCAGTTTGTTATACATTTGTTCCTATACAATGGAAAAATAATATTACAAACTTTATGTTTTTTCATTATACACCCCGTTAATATTATACATGCAAATGTTTAAATGGATGGATGGATGTTGAAGGTATCTCAGTAATAGCTTAAGGGATCTAGGGGATCTGAAATTTGACATAGATGTAGAACATAGTCTGGGGGAACACATAGGCTAGGAAGGAGTCACAATGCAGTGTAGATGTAGGTGAAGCAGGAGTTCATTCATGATGCTGTGCTGGTTCGTAAGTAAACATTGCTCATGTTATGACATATTAATTAAATAATTATGCAACTCTAGTTATTGTTTACATAAACTGTTAGTGTGATTGTGAAAACATTTTTATTTCCTAACAAATTATGAAATTTCAATTCCAGCTTTATAAACCAAACACATGTGACAGAAAGATAATAGAAAAATAACAAAGGATACTTATTGTTTCATTTTCCTGGGACATTAGACACATTTTTTTTTAATTTGACATGAACAGTCATGACCAAAAGCTAGTACTTTATAAAATGATTTTATCTTAACCCCTAGTTTATATGATTCATATCAAGAAAAATAGCTAGTTGTAGTGAATACTGATGTTACAGTAAAATGTAATAGTACCAACTAATGAAAATGATAAGCACACTTACAGATAAGAGTCTTATACCTATGCTGTGCCAGTTCTTAGAAAGTGATTGAAGCCTATCTAAATGAGCAGCAATAATATGACCACACATTTAGCTCTAATATAGCAAAGTGAACAATGAACAACTACAGATAAGTATAATTTCTTAGAATTGTTGTGTTTAATTCTTGCAATAACAAAAATTAAAGCATACACCTACATACATTATGACAATTTCCTTAGCGACAATGTAAAATATAACCTTTTCCAATAGGAATAACAGGATGTTTACCCGTCTGCCCCCACTGGGCTATTATTGTTCACTTACATCATCTTATTGAAGATCAACAAAGTTTTTCCTCACTGACGCAGAGGGGATTATTTTACATGTGTGTATACATACACTCATGCAACATACAAATATATATGCAATTCAATATCCAATTATGAAAAATTTACTGAATATAGTTGCATTTATAAGTTTAACTTTGAAGAATGAGGGGTGCACCTCCCATCTACATTGCTAAATTTCAACTAGTTGACAAACATTTTTAAAAAGCTCACTATTTCAAGGTTGGCTTTTGTACAAGATTCAGTGTTGTTCATCAATATATGAAAAATTACATTTGCTAAAGGTGCTAGGTCAAGGCTAGCTTTGGATCATAATATTTGTAAGTATAACCATTATTGTGAAGTTGTTAAGCCTGTCAATGTTCTTACACTTACAATTTCATTTCCCACATACAAACATCTTTATCCCCTTTTAAATGAATCTTGACAAAAACAAAATCGATGTAAATCCTTACCTTCGGGGTAAGCCTGCTCGTTGGCGATGAAGTCGATGATCATGTGGGTGGAGTTGTAGAGCATGCCCATGGCCCGCATGTCGAACTCGACGCGAGCCACGTACGTCGCGTTGATCACGGGCGTCGAGTAGTTGACCTCGATCTTGCCTATCGCCTCATACAGGTCCGAGTGCATCTTCAGGCCGACGTCGCTCAGCCAGGGGTCCGGCGCGGCCGCCGCAACCGCCCACACGAGCACCAACCGGAGACACATCGTCATATCTCAGTACCACTCACTAAACATTAGCCCGTATATCTACGCCCGCGTTACCTTCTAAAATGTTAAATTCAAAATGGGTATACTATTGTTTGCAAAACAAACTCCAAAAGAAACCCGTTGAAAATAAACACTACAGTTTATAGATCGAAGGTCGTTTAATTGTTTGAATTTGTCGAAGAACACTATATTCATCTCAGTAGAGTAACAACAATTTTGTATTAGTTTTATGTCAGAAATTACATTTCTGTTAAAGTTAACACTTTCTTTGTTACGCCCAAGCGCCTACACCTACAGACGTTTTCACTCAAACGCTCGACAACATTGAATGAACATTTGAATGATGACTCGATGAACATACTGACTTGTTCTGACAGTGAGTCATCTCTACTATATGGATAAGTTGTTGCTTGGAAATGACAGCTTTTAATTTGTTCCGACTTGAACGCGACTATTGATGTTACTGTCAATTTATGCCATTACTGTTATTAGTTCCAATTCACACCACCACCAACAACCGCGACTGTCAGCGCCAAAATGGCGAAAATCAAAAAGGCACAGAAAACGGCTATATAGCCAGTCCATAAATAGAGGTCAGGGATTGAATGACTGACGGTGCTGATAGCCTTGTCTTGTCGGCTATAGAATCGGTTGAAAACTGCCTTTTGATCACTATTAAAAATTCAGCAAAAATGAACGAGTATAATCATCAGTTATGATTATTTTCGATGGTTGTTATCACTTTTTATTTTATATACCTTTTTATATTATACATACACTTTAGTAGTTATCATAGAAGTTGAATTGATAATTGCGTG